CTGATCTGTGGTGATGCCTCTAAAAATGAGAGCCACTGGCGTCACTGAGAAGGTACATCACAGCCCCCTCCCCGGTACAGGGTAACAGAAATCTCAGGAACCCACAGGTCACCTCCCCACTGGGTCCAACCCAAGACCACGTCTCCCAGGGAAGAATATTAGCACAGAGCGCGGAAACGGAAATGGCAGCCAAGTTGAGCTAGGATCATGTATCTTTCCGCTGCAGCAGGTAAGTCACAGAATGTTAATGTGCGTCTTGGACCTCGGGCACATTCCCATTTAGCTTCCTCGTTTTCCAGTGGAGGAGCGTGGGGCCCAGACAAGTGAGAAGGCGGTTCTCCTGGCACGTTTCCAGCCCTCCTCCCATGAGTCCCCCAATCAACAAGATGGGATAACTGCTTAATGCTTCTGCGTCCCTATAAACAGAGCAATTTCCATGAAAAGGCAGAGGCTATGGCTGAGCAGCCACAGGTAACCCACAGAAACCTGGAGGCCAGGAGGGCAATAGTTCTTTTCAAAATGCAAGTATTTCCTTGAAAGGGGGTGTAAGGGCTAAGCTGGCAGAAAGATGAAGAGGCAAAAAGCACGGGGAATTCTTGGCAAGCAGAAACCCCCTGAGCCGACTGCAACCGGCGGGCTGGGGGAGGATTCTATTCTGCTCCATTCTCGGAGCACACGTGTCCTGTAACGGACTGGGGGCGCCCCTGGGATCTGTCTCAGAATGACAACCCTCTGTGGCAATTGCCCTAGGCGGAGGAAGGCCGCTTTGTCGAGGCCCTGCCCCCTCTCCCAGCGTGTGGTCAGTGTAGAAAGACACAGCACCCTCCGATCCCCGGGAGACAGCTCCGAAGGGCTTCCCCAGCTTCGGTGCTCCGGGTGGGATCTGCCTCGTGGAGACGCGGCGCTCCTAGGCTTTTCCGGCACCTGCTCCTGCCTCGTACGTTGCGGGGACTTAACACCCAGACGGACTTCCCCACATGGATCTCCTTCGGAGTCTGCTTCCCGGAGAAGCCCCTTGCAACAGCCTTTTTCTGATACAAAAATCTTCCCCTTCATTCCCCTGCCCGGTGTCGTTTTTGTTTTCAATTCGAATCAAATCCAACTGCATACTCAACCTCTCCGATCTAAGGCGGGTCTGCATTTAACATCCAGCCAAACCTGCTTAAAAATCCTTTTACCCCATTGCTAACATATAAATGGCCGCATCTCCCCCAACCTAATTCCTATGTAAATTTCATAATGAAAGCACAAATATATTCTCGTTGCAAAAGTCAGGCCCTTGGATACCCTATCCCCATAAATGGTCCCATGCCACTCCTTTTGACTTGCCCCACATGTTGGGGCACATCCCTAGGAACCCCCTCCTCTCGCTGCCTCAACAACCCCCACTGTCTTCGTAGGCATGACTCAGCTAGTCAAGATTCTGAGCTTTAACTTCCTGTGGTCTCCATTATAAAACCAATGCTCGTTTTTCATTTTCCATATTTGAATCCTTGCTCAAACACCTTAGTTTATAGCGATTAACTAGCAGCCCATTAGGAAGAATGCAACCTGGTTGAAGGCATCTGAGGAAGCAGAGAGAGGGACTCCTCTAGGGCAATCGGGAGAATACATGTTTCAGAGTCAGGAAATTAAGCTAGCATTTCTAGAGCTTCTCGGAAAGTTTCGGCATTCAGAGCACGTTTAAGCAAGTTTAAGATACAACCAAATATGATTTTATAAATAACATTTGGTGTTAGATCGTGCATGTACAGGCTCATGAAGGCCCACACGGAATACCCAAGCCTCGGGAGCTGCATAGGCGCCAGGGGCCTGAGCGTGGGCCCTTCGGGAACCTTCCTGAAGAACTTGGGGGAATGTGATCACATCTCCCAGAGCACCAGAAATCATGTTTCTAAACGGAGGGGAGTCCAAGGCCAATTCAATCCCCATGTGTCCCGGTGCTGAAATGAGCTCTGGGCAGGCAGGAAATTCTAATATAGAACAGGAAAGCCCGCCCTCCCCCATAAAATCAACCTGAAGTCTATCAAGAAATGCTTTACCTGGCAGAAGATGGCACCTTCCAAAGCTTTCTAACCTGGTTGTTGAGGGATTGTTATACACCTTTGAATAAGGAAACTATCGAATTGAAAATGCAATATTCCTTTGTGGGTTAAAAAGTAGTGGAGGAGAGGGGTGCCTGGGTGTCTCAGTGGGTTAAGCCTCTGCCTTTGACTCAGGTCATGATATCAGAGTCCTGGGATGGCGCCCCGCATCGGGCTCTCTGCTCAGCAGGGAGCCTGCTTCCCTCTCTCTCTGCCTGCTTCTCTACTTGTGATCTCTGTCTGTCAAATAAATAAAATCTTAAAAAAAAAAAAAAAAAGTAATGGAGGAGAAAAGGCAGGGTGGGGATAGACACGAGGGGCAGGAACAACAGCAAGAACAGAGCTGATAACCAGGTAAATTATCAGAAACCACACAGAAGAAATGAGCCGGGTAGCAAAGCCACACTGCTGCGCATGCTATGTCATTATGAGTGTTTGGGGCTGCGAGTAGTGGAAAACCCAGAAGTCTATGTTTCTTATTTCTCTCTCTCTCAAGTAGCAAGAAGTCCACAGATAGGGCATGTGGGTGGCTCCGTGGGTTAAGCCTCTGCCTTCAGCTCAGGTCATGATCTCAGGGTCCTGGGATCAAGTCCTACATCGGGCTCTCTGCTCAGCGGGGAGCCTGCTTCTCCCTCTCTCTCTGCCTGCCTCTCTGCCTACTTGTGATCTCTCTCTCTCTCTCTGTGTCAAATAAAAAAAATCTTTAAAAAAAAAAAAAGAAGAAATCCACGTATAGTTGTGGACTTCTCCACAGCTCCACAGCTCTTTGACATCGGGATTCACATCTGATCGGAAGCCTGTTCCTCATGGTCACAAGATAGTTGCCGGATGGCCACTCCTAACTGGAAGGTGACTGGGAAGAAAAGGACTGGAAAAGAAGGCGAGCCAAGCAATCAGCTCTCTAGCACAGCAAGAAAACCATGGGCTGTTACAAGAGGGATAGAGTCTGGCAAACTGGGTGGGTGCCGAGTCCATTCAAACGGAACCTAAGTTCACTGGCTGTCCTAGAGGCTGAAGAATCTAGGGAATATGTAAATCTCCACACGACATTTGTATATGGGCCAAGAGGGACAAAATATATATTCCAACCCTATGTGTGTGTTTCATCTGTATTACCCAAGGTACTCTCCCTACGGAACTGTTCCCCCCCACCAAAAAACCAAAAACAAAACAAAACAAAAAAAAACACAAAAAACCCCCCACAAACCTCAAACTTATGAAGCAGAAAGGAGAAAACATGAATTTGATTTGCTACAAAAAAATAACCAAGTTCAAAAAGCACATTTATTTACAAAAGTTCAGAGTATAAATGGAAACAGCAGCAAAGAAAATAAAAACCATAGCCATTCATATTTGTGTAAAAGTAGGCAAAACTTATCAATAAGATTCTTTTAAGTATTTCTACTTCCAACAATCAAAATCAATTTCTAAGAATAATTTTTGATCACCTTGGGAAGGATTTTTAGGAGACTCAATCTGTATGATGCAAACTTTAACCTTTTATTTACTTCTCAGAGCATGAGCACAACCAGGAGGAGTGGCAGGCAGAGGGAGAAGCAAGCTCCCCACTGAGCAAGGAGCCCGATGCAAGACTCAGTTCCAGGACCCGGGGATCATGACCTGAACCGAAGGCAGATGCTTGACTGACTGAGCCACCCAGGCATCCCCAAACTTTAACAATTCTAATGAAAAAATACTTTGTATTCTTTGAAAATCTCTAAGTCCCTCCAGACCAAGTAAACCAGATCACTACCAATTTTTAAAAAGACTCAAAAACTCTTAAATTAGGAAGTCATAATTGTTTTAATAAATTATTTTTAAGGGGCACCTGGATGGCTCAGTTGGGATCCGGCTTCTCCCTCTCCCTCTGCCTGCTGCTCTGCCTATTTGTGCTCTGTCAAATAAATAAAATCTTTTAAAAAATTTGTTTTAAAACATCCAAATATGTTATCATTGGCTGAGTACTACAATATATTGTTTCTTAATCCATGAGCATGATTTCTGTTACCCTCTAGTGAGACCCTACTGCTCTCCAATGAGACACCTTAAGTCATTTACTACTTGGCTCTTAGGACGATCTTATGTATTCGCGTAGAATACGAATGTACACGCAAAGAGAAATCCATACACCTATTGCCAGTGGCCAGTTAACTGCTGGATCTTCCAAGAACAGAGACAAATGTTCTTAAGAGTCAACCCTCTTCAGAGCCTTGCTCGACTATAGCCCAGTGCACACGTTTCGTTCAACTTCATTGACGGATGAGATCCTCGCCTGTGAGGGAAGGACTAGCTGGCATACTTCCGCAATCTTTCCTTGCCGGTGTCGACTGAGCTCTTACTGTTCACGCCTTGGTCACCATCTCTTGCGTTGGTCCACTCTTCCTTTAGTTCACTCTCCTGACTGTGAGACGTGGCACCCAAACAGAAGACAAGCAAAAGGTTCACCCAGAAAGTATTGTCACATAGAAGAGTGTTAACAACCAAATGACCGCTTGAGGTTTAATTCAACCAACAATCGACAGGGATCTGGAACTGGGCTGTGAGTCCAGCACTGTGTCCCCAGCCAAGGACACAGAGCGCGACTAGGTTCCCCCCCAACTACAGCTTGAGTCCCCATGTGTCCTGCCCTAAGCTTGGTGCCTTAAAATACACAAAAAGAGATGATTCTTTCTCTGAGGTGCTTGGAGGTGGCTGGCAATAAAATGCTGAAGAGTGGGGCGCCTGGGTGGCTCAGTGGGTTAAAGCCTCTGCCTTCGGCTCAGGTCATGATCCCAGGGTCCTGGGATCGAGCCCCGCATTGGGCTCTCTGCTTGGCCAGGAGCCTGCTTCCCTTCCTCTCTCTCCACCTGTCTCTCTGCCTACTTGTGATCTCTGTCTGTCAAATAAATAAAATTAAAAAAAAAAAAAATGCTGAAGAGTGAGCAGTGAGACAACCCCGTAATTAATCCCTCATTCACCCACCGTCACTGGAAGTGTGTCCCACACAAGTGACTCGCATATGTGACTGAAGGTTTTCAGACACCCTAAAATGTTAATAAACCAAGCTCCAGTGTCTGCTGTGCCAGTTAGATGAAGGGTTACACCTAGATTACTTTGGCACTCTGAGGATTATTTCCTCAGGGAGAGACAGGTAATACTAACTTAGTTTTAGTTCTATTTATTTTTAGGATGGTGCTGTGAGGATCAAATGAGGTGAGCAAAAAAGTACTCCCAAGTTAGACATTTCTACACAAATGCTAAACATTAATTTTTAGGAACACTTGTGCTTTATGATTGTAGTAATTCTAAAGTACACTATACTTTTTTGCCTTCTTAGAGTTAAGAATTTCCAGAGTTGACATGATTAATGTTAGAGATGGCACACGCACACCGAGTAACTCAGAGACTGAGTGGGGCCGTTTCTCCCGCTCCGATCCATGCCGGGAGCCAAGAAACGTGGTCACTGAAGAGAACTACGATCCTAGCTACTTTTTAAAAAGCACTGTTAACATTCTATTTAACTAAATAACCCAGTCTTTATAGTTAAGAGAAATACTGGGAGTATCCATGTAACTCCAGTGAGGGAATCTGTCACCATTCTCTGGTCTCTTTGAGTTTCAGACACCTTGTCCCAACTGCAGACAGCGACATCAAGTTAGCACCTGTCAGGAGAAACCTTGACAGACTCACACACAAGTATTTTTCAAATCAAGTGTTTTATTTCAAAAAACTTCATAGTAAGCCAAAAAGCTAAAAAGAACGTGTGAAAGGGAACAGAAACCACAGAAACAGACGCGGTACCAGCCAACAACCGCATGGCCCATTCTGTGCAAGTACTTCAAGAGAACCTGAAGGTGAAGATGTATCATGAACGACACACTTAAGAAAAATTAAAACACTAACTTTACGTTATTATAGCTCACTCTTGAAGTTTCTGGACTAGAAAACGGAGAAGATTCCCAAGACCTATTTTCTTTCTCAAAGGAATCATCTTCTTGGAATGCAAACTTCTGCTTAAGTGCATGGGATATTAAAGACACTGCATCCCAATGTGAATCTTGTCTTTTCCTCTTATGAATGGGTCTACCTCCAGGTGACCTATTAAAAAAAAAAAGTTTTTTAATTAAAGCCTTGTGTAATGTAGCTCCTTAATGACAAATACACCAGAAATATAAGCATAATACATTACAACCTAATGATTCTTCAAGATAAAAAATTTTCACCAAAGAACAAAGAATCTGGAAGGCACAATGAATTGGGAATCAGAAATCTAAGAAACCATGGTTTCTTCTGGTGGGTGGGACTCCACCACAATCTTGTTGGGACCTGAGATTATCAAATATCTCACTGTGCTAAAGATCTTTATTTTTAATTTTCTCATTTTCCAATGGAAAATTTAAAGAATTATTTAAGAACTTTCTAAGGGGACTAACTGAATTCATGAAGAGAAAGCTATTGGGCCAATCATTCATTCAGTCTTCACTCAATGCCTACTACTACACCAGATTCCATTTTATAATTTGAGAGTACAGCCATATCCTACCCCCATGGAATATTCTAGTGACAGGAAATCATCAACAAACAAGTGAGATCACTGCAGACAGCAATGCATGCTATGAATAAAATTAAGTAGGTAATGTGACAGTGACTGGGACAATAGCACCTTAGGTGAGATGACCAGGAAAAACTTCTTTAAGGAAATGGCGTCCTCTCTATAAATGACCCCAAGTCAGCGTTAGTGTAAACATGCAGTGGAGGCATATGTGAGAAAAAAGAAAAACAGTTACTGCTGGAGCGCAGAGAGTGACATGAGAAATAGGTCATGAGGTCAGAGACAGAAAGAAGGGCTGGACCCTCAGGATACTGAGAGGCCACAGCAAGGTATCTGGATTATATTCTAAGCATGACGGAAAACCATCAAAGGGTTTCAAGCAGGGAATGGCCAGATTGAACTTCAAGTTTTATTTTTTTTGTTTTTAAAGATTTTATTTTTTAGTAATCTCTACACTCAGCATGGGGATTGAATTTATAACCCCAAGATTAAGAGTCGCATACTCCAACTGAGCCAGCCAAATGGCCCTGGACTTCAATTTTTAAGGATCACCCTGATTACTCTATGGAGAAAAGGAAGGAGGCAAGAACGCAGAGAGGCCAATTAGGAGGCTATTGCAGAAGTCCAAGTTAGAGATGGTGTCTTAGATTGGGGGTGGCAGTTAGATCATGAGGGTACACACTTTTTTTTTTTTTTTAATTTTTAATTTTTATTTATTTGACAGAGAGAGAGATCACAAGTAGGCAGAGAGGCAGGCAGAGAGAGGAGAAAGCAGGCTCCCTGCTGGGCAGAGAGCCAGATGTGGGGCTCGATCCCAGGACCCTGGGATCATGACCCGAGCTGAAGGCAGAGGCTTAACCCACTGAGCCACCCAGGTGCCCAAGGGTACACACTTTTGAACTGTATGCTGATAGAAAGGAAATGGGAAGGAAAGGAAAAGGATGATTCTAGATGTCTGGACTGAACAGACACCTAGGTGATGAACAACTGGGTGATGGTGTTGCCATTTACTGAGATGCAAAAACTTGGGACAGAACAGGTTTTCAAGGTGGAGAAAGTGGACAGGTAGGAAGGAAGAGTTCTGTTTTGAACACGTGAAGCCTGATACACCTCTGGGACAAGCAAATGATGTCAGGCAGGCATTTCATCAAGTAGGCATCGAATACAGAGGAGAAAATCAGGGATAGAAAAATAAATGTGAATGTCATTAGCATATCAATGGTATACACAGCCACAGGACTCCATGAGATCACCAAAGGAAACAATGTGGATATAGAAAGAAGGGGACTGAGGTCTGAGCCTTGCACATGCCAACATAGACACCAGGCCAAGAAGCAAGATTAAGCAAAGGAATAAGGCATGGCCAGTGAAGTAAGAGGAAAACCATGTGTGATTTCCCTGAAGCCAAAGGAAGAAAGTGTTCCAAGGAGGAGGGAACCACAGACTATATCAAATACTGCCAAGATATCAGGTAAGAGGAACACTAAGAACTGACCATTGTATTTAGCAAGAGAGTCACTGGTGACCTTGATAAACAGCAGTTGTCAGTGGAGTGATGGGGACAGAGACCATATGACAGAGGGTAGAAGGCGGCAGTGAGAAAAGCAAAAAAACTATTGACAACAAGAATTTATACCAGAAAGAGGAGCACAGAAACAAATAATACCAAGGATATATGTGTTTTGAAGATGGGAAACAGTCAAGTATGAGGAGAATAAAGTAAAGAAGAAAACTTTGATGATACAGAAGACAGAAGGGATAATTTTAAGTAAAATCCTTGAGAGGATGAGAGAGAAGGGGAACCAGTGACCCAAGGGAAAGCCTGGATGTGAACAATGATACTTTATTCACAGTAACAAGATAGAAGGCAGAGAACATGAATAATGACTTTGTAAATGTAAAGAAGGGGGAAGTCTCATCTGATTATGGAGTAATGTATAATGCAAGGTTAGCTGTAGAAAAATGAGATACTGGGGGTGGAGGGTAGAGTCTATTGGCCTCCTTGCTGTGTCTCCAGTGATGGTAGTAGTCAGAACACAGTCTGACACTGACTGGGCCCAGTCGGCCCTCTTGCTGGAACAAGTGTGCCCATCTAGCCACAACATTTTTCTCTGTACCAGGTGCTTCACAAATGATCAAATCATAACCTCATTAAAATAATGAAAAGATGTAGCTTTCCTAACACTATTATATAGAAAATGTATTTATTTTCTCACAAAAAACCTCAATGAGGGATTTCCAAATGAACATGGCAGATCTCTGTGAAATCCTACTAAAATGACAGTAAAGAAATGAAAAGGACACAATACCCACAAAGACAAAGAAATTATGAGAGAGTGCATAAGAACCACAACAAAACATTGAAAGCTGGAAAGCTAATGAAAGCAAAGATAATGGGGGGTGAGCTGCCTTCCTGAAAACAGGGACTGAGGAGAAGTCTACACACTGAATGAAAGGTAAACTCAAGACTGAGTCCACAAGTGCCCAGCATAAGAAATTCAAAAAGGAACTCTTCAGGGCATGGCATCATGAAATTTCCAAATACCAGGACTAAAGAGAAGATCTTAAAAGTTTCAAGAATAAAGAAAAGGCTGCATACATGGTACCAGGAATGAGAATGACATCAGCTTCTCAGTAGGAACACTGGAAGCTAGAAATCGATGGAACGACATCTTCAAAATTCTGCAGAAAAATGATTTTCTGCCACTGTATACCCAGCCAAACTATCAATGAACTGTAAGAATAAAATAGTAACATTTTCAGATATGCAAAGTCTTAAAATAGTCTCCCTTTTTATAGATCCTTTCTCAGGAAGGTATGGGAAGATAGGACACCCCAGAAATGGGTAAGGCAACACAAGTGAAAGGGTACAGAATGCCCGTGATGATGGCCAAGGAAATTCTTAACATGGCAACAACACAGCAGGCTTGCAGGAACCAGAGATTGGAGCAGGACAGAGGGCTCCTACCAGGAAATTTATTTTAAAAAGAAAAAGAGAAAGAAACTCCAAGAGACATTAACTGCAATAGAAAATAAAATTATTCAACTAACAAAACGTAACTATAGCAAAGGAAATGGCTTACCTGTGACTGTTTACTGTTATAAAGATGTAAATTCTGAATACTGATTTAAGTAAAGCCTAAGGATTTAATTACATTGGGAAGATGGAACAAGAGGAGTATTTGTGTACATGTTAGAGGATAGGATGGCTGGGAGAACATACTCTTGAGTTTTAACAAAGGGAAGTAAATACAGTTAAAGTATCAAGAAATAGCAAAGGAAGTATGTTGTTTAAAAAATACAGATAAGACACTAGAAGGAAGAGTAAAAAAACTGGAAAAGGATTTTTTCTGGGAGAGGTGTTTGGAGTAAAGAGGAATAAGAGAGAAGACTTGTCTGTGTGTACTTTAATAAATACAATAAGTCACTAAAACATTAACAGAACTTGGTTCATTTCTCAAGTTATGGCAACATACCGTTCAATAGCACGAAGTTTAACCTTATTCATGTCCTTTAGTACATCCAACATGTTTGGAACATCTTTATTTTCCTGGTTTTTTGAATGACTGGAATTGGTCTTACTGTCAGCCGGATGCTGTTTTTTCATTTCATTTGCAGAATTATCTGAGTCACACATATTATTAGATCCTGACTGTGTGAGAGGAGAACAGGTTGGCTGTGGAGAAAAAAGCTGAGGGGGCAGTGGAGGAGGAAGAGGAGGAGGAGGAGGGAAAAGCATTGAACTTGAAAATGGATCTGGCTGGGCACTCAGTTCAGCAGTCCCTGGTGATGGTCTTCGTCCCAAACCACGAGGCTCATCATTCAAGTCAAAGAAGCCTAAAAACAAAGTAGTCTTTTGAAAAATCATGCAAAATTCTCTCTAACATACCACATAACTAATTAGAACCAAAGCAGGAACAATTTCTGTAATGTTACTGAAATAATGATAGGGTGGCCAGGAAAAAGAAGAAATCCCATCTGCTTAGTAATTTTGATAAGAGTCAAACCAAAAAATAAATTTATTTTTAAACCAATTAGGATTGTCTGTGTAGGCCTTTAAAGGGAGGAAGGGTGAGAATGCATTTTAAGAAGAAAACTATAAAGTGCTTTCTCAGTAATTAACATACAATCTGAATTTCATCATCTATTTTTAAAAAAGCTAAAATATAATTAACAATTTATAGTTAGAAACACTCAGACTGGTACATTATCTTTATGATGACACTGTAGAAACAATTTTCTAGGCAAAAGCCTAGGATGGGTACAGAGTACTTAACTTTCACAACAAACTTGCTCCCTAAAGACTGTGTTCTTAACATGACTGGTTTAAAAAATGTATGTGTGTATCTCACTTTAATTGCTATTATATAATATTTATATATTATAAATATACAACACTATATGAACATTTCATGTTATATATGAATTATACATGTGTGTATATATTACATGTATGTTCTTTAAAGCAAGTCACATCTCTAAACATGGAGAAAAGAATCATCTGAAATACACTATTCAACGTGAATTTGGTGGAAGGATAGCAGCAATAACTTCAAGCTACAAATACATGCTCTTCTTTCAAATTAATATGTCCTTCCTCATAAATTTCAATGCTTTTCTGAAGAGGTAGAAAAGCTTCCTTAGGAAACAGGCTTTTTAATTCAAAAGCCCAATCTTCAGCGGTATAGCTGGAACCGATACCAGCCTCCTCACTGCAAACGTGCCTTAACTTACTCTAAATAAACACCACGCCTAGTAATTGCACACCCCCAAATCCTAGATTTACCGAACGTCACTCATAGGCAGTGCTCGCATCAGACACTGTCATTGGGCAGCGCGGACAGAAACTGCTAGCCCCGCCCCATCGGACTGAAACAAACCCCACGTGACTCACCAACAAGCCTACTGGCTTTCAGTTCCCTCCTTCCCACGATGGCAGCGATCTGGGTGCGAAGAAAAGTCAGCTCCTCTTCAAGGGCAGCTATCTTTTTAAATGCAGCTTCGCCTACAGTCCCATCACTTTTCATTCGTTTATTCTGTCTGAGAACAGGTGAAAATGGATTTCAAACTGGTTGAAAAGAATAGAAAAATTCCATTTTCTCCTCTTCTTCATGTTTCCATATACTATTTCTGTGCATAGAAGGGAAAAGTACACAATGACAAATAGAGGGAGGGAGAGAGAATGAGAAATGGAAGGAAACTTTCCTGGAGCAATAAATTCTTTCAGTCAAAGAGGAATAAAGAAAAAAAAAAATTAGGGAAGTTCTCTTTATCCCTTGATTGTCTCTAGACTGGCTGAGGACAAGGACAACTTCTTATGTAACTCTATTCTCAATATCTGGAACACAACGGTTATATTACCGAAAGTGGTAAGTGAATGAAGGAACAAATCTTGCTCTTAGACTGTAAAACAAAAATAATTATCCTGTAACTGTTCTACTTATTAGGTTTAAACACAGTACAGATTGATTTATTTAGAAATAATGTTGATTTACTTAGAAATTCTACATATTCTGAATATAAGGTACTGAAGGGCCTAATTTAATATTCAGTATTATGTTAGGGGTAAGTTTGTGGTATTCTGTTTTAAAATAGATAAACCAGTTTGATACATAATAAATTTAGCCAGAATATTTGAATAATTGACCCTTATTGTGCTAACAGCCTATATCTGAACATATTAACAAATGAGTTAGTACTCCGCAACAGTAACACATCCTAATTTTGAAGTATTTTTAACATCATTGCCTGGTACACAGTAAATACTAAATACCTTTTGGTTAAATATATAAAATAAATAAATATATATAGTATCTAGTGTAGGAAACAGATTTCTCCTAAAAATGGACACACTGATTCTGACATTCTTTTAATATTATTCTTTCCTAGTCATGCATTAAGAGAAATGGGAAAAATGAGAAACACCCAGTCATCCTTATTAGGAAGACACAGGGCAGTAAAGACGGTAAAGACAGACAAAAGGCTCAATTAGTATGATCAAACTTCAACACATGCAAGAACTCAGATTATAGCCCATACCCATTTTTCAAAGTATATCAAATTACCGAAATCTGAGATAACTCGCTTCTTCATCATTTGCCACACACAGAGTATCAGCAAAAGATGGAACTACAGGTCCACAGTTACCAGAGTCTACAGAATTCAATAGTGGGATCAACTAAAGGAAAAAAAAGCGGAAAAAAAAAAATAAAAGTCAGAGCTCTGCAGGGGTCTGGGGCGGGGGTGGGGGGTAGGACACATGCATGCCCATGGAAATTACATAAATTAAAAATACAAGAGTGAAAAGGAAAAAGAATATTCAATACCAAACATGCATCTGTTAGCAAGAAACAATACTGAGGAAAATGTTATTCTAAAGTCTAAACATGTAGCAATATCTCTACCCTGGTTAATATCATCTATCATGAAACACAAACTAGAAGAATAAAATAAGCTATTCAGGTGTTGCTTTGTACCTTCCCAACTCTGAACGTAATTACTCAAAGAAGTAAAAACAAAAACATACAACAAATGACTTGTTTCCACTATTAAGCTAAAGGTTTTTGGCTTACAAGAAACCTTTCTTCTTTTGTTCTACTCTGACTCTAGTACCGAGGTTATTTTAGACATAGTACTTAAAACAATGCCTATTGACAGACTTACCTCAAAATTAGGCCTGGGACAAGGTTCTAGAGGAAGAATTTTCCCAATAATACGAACAATACTCCGAGCTGATCCATAGTCTTTATTTTCTCTAATCTGCAAAACCTATTTATACAGTGTTTGAAAAGTACTCTGTTAAAGCATGTTTATATCTTTGAAGAAAAGCAGATGTAAACGCATTAACACTTATTTAAAAAAAATACATAATGGTGTACTCAAAGTATTTTCTTCAAAGAATTAAACTTTATTCATATTTGTCTTAAAAAAAAAAAAAGGATGGGAGTTAACCTATATAATATTCCAGGAAGAACGGTCTTTCTGATAATGGCAAAATACCTTTGGGAATTTTATTCAGAAAAACTGCCTCCCCTCTTCCCAGCTAAACATATCTTCTGGCCCAATCAAAAATCAACAATTTTGAGTTTCTCAAGCATGAGGCAGTACAGAGAAAATTCATGTAATTCCCTTTAAAGGTGAGCTCCTTTTTAGAGGTATAAATAAATCCTCTTTAGGGGAACAAATGTAGATAATTTTAAAAATTCTTTACTTACAATGCAATATATCAGCTAGAAGTCAGTTCTTAAAAAGATGACAGAAATGAAATGTGCTACTGTAATTCAACTACCACCTATCTGTTGCCTTGGGCTTTCCAGACTGTATAAACTACTCCCACAGGAAGCTCCCCCAAAACAGGACATAACATTTCTGCTCTTGGCAGAGATTTCAACACAAAGAAAGCACTTTCTCTTTTTAAAAACCATTAAAACTTGGACTTTTCGTTTTTCCTTAGATCCTATAACAAGGACAAAGTTTATTACAAGTAGCAGATATAGGTAGCATCCTAACAGCATCTTCTTGGAAATATCCAATAAGCAGATGGATATACAGTTCTGGAACTCGGGAAAAAACATCTGGGATTTAGATGGATTTGGGAATCATCAGCAGAAAGAATACATGATAAGTAAAAATCGAAGCCATTTGACTAGTTGAGAAGAACTGGGGCTAGAGAGGAAGACCTGGAAGCCATTGGCACACTGGATGCCATCCCTCTGCTTTTAAGTAGTAAGGGTTCTGAATGTATCCGATCATATCCAAACACTTGAGTCTAAGATTAAATACTGATGCCACCAATTCCACCAGCTCAGTCTACATAAAGTCCTCCATGAATTCTGTATTCATTCTCCACTCAACCGTAAAGGTCCTCTGCCACTTGGCCCTGTTTATCCAACTGAATTACCTACTCACTCTTCATTAACAAGGACACAAGCTCTTTTGAGTTAAGCCATTTTCCTCATTGTCTCAAAGACAAGCCAATATTATCCTAACTGCCAAGCACTCACCCATGTGCCCAGAGGGCCCGGCTCTATCTCAAGCCCTGGAACCAGCTTTTTGCACATCTCTTCTAATGCCAGATTCACATTCCTCTACACATTTGATTCTCTCTGCTCTCAGGAGCTTCCTAGGCTCTGAATTCCGAACTAGTTCCAAGGAGTACCATACAATAGGACACCTAACTACATATAACTTCATTTCATTTGCAGTTTTCTCTTTGCTTCATTAGATTGTAAAGTCTTCGCAGGCAAAGACATGTTTGTGTTGGTTTTCAATCCTACAGGGTGGTAGTTCTTAACCATAGGTATACTAGAATCACCTTGGAAGGTGGGTTCCAAGAGAAATAAAACACAAACCACATTTGTAAAATAAATTTTCTAGTAGCTATATCTGAAAAGGTAGAAAGAGACAGGTGAGATTAATTTTCTTAGTATATTTTATTTAACTCAATATGTATATATTATCATTTCAACATGTAATCAATATTTTTTAAATAATGGCATTATTTTATATTCTTTTCATACCAAGTCTTCCAAATCCATTGCATATTTCACACCTATCAGAGATCTCAATTCAGACATTTCAAGTGCTTGAAGAGGACATCTGGCCAGTGGCTACCATATTGACTAACACAGCCTGGAGTATACTGATCCTGGACCTAGTAACACTAGAATCTCTGCCAGCCTGAGCAATTATATATAAAGTGTTCTATAGGCCACTCACACGCACTCTTCCTAAGAACCACAGGCTGGAGGTTTTGCTACAGTGAGGGCTACTCACTGTACATAAATAGCCACCCAACTCTTGGTTAACTCAGATGGTACCTTCATGTCTTACTCTGCAAGTTCCATCCTGACAAACTCCTGTTCTCGCTCATCTCTTCATTGCCACTGACCATCTTCACCATTCTGATGTTTTCTTCTCTTTTTCCTACTCCTGATCCAGCACCCTCATGCTGACTTTCCTACCAACCAGAGAATTTTAATTGTTTCAGTGATATGCTTACTACCAATCATGAACTACCCCAACAACGCTTAGCCGGAGAAAAGAAATCACAGAAGAGCAATATTCAGAAAGATTACAAATCCAAGCTGACTTCAGCTGAGTATTCTGCACAGGTATTCTGCAACCCCTTCAGAACATGTCTTGTTCTCTACCATGTTGCCCAAAGCAATCCCTAGTCTCTGCAATCTACAATGTCACCATTTCTGTCAGTAGCCTTGACTTTGCTCTTAACTGAGAAAACTGAGAACTCAATTTTTTCCCACTCGACTGTCCGTCTTTTTTCCAAGGCTTATATACTTATATTCCTTATCCAACTACCTTCTCAAGGGCACTGCTCAATCACTCACTATTTCATTTGAATCTTAAAATTTTTCCTGGCTGTGAGGTTCTTCCTCAATGCTTGCAAACATTAAGTTATCTCTAACATCAATTTGATGGTCGCTCTTGATCTCTTCACAAACTTTTCAAAAGAAGGTGCTGATGTCACCTTCCTTCTTCAGTCATTCTTCAAAATACAAAGCAGCTACCACTCTCCACCTACAGAAACCCTTAAAGGCATCAATAATCTAATGATGAGCAAATTTTTTACTCAAGCTGCCATTATCTTTGATCCCACTATTTCTGAAATTCAAAATGCATCAATAACATCCAACAACATCTTCCATTCTGTCAAAGTCCATGAATTCAAATATCAAAAGAATGCAGATAACCTTAAATCTGAATCTCTTTTTCCTACATTCTAGAACCACTTATCTATCTGCAAGATCTTTGTATTTATATAATCCAACAGCACATCTGGCTCACCTTATCTCCCTACTCAAACTAGTTCCTCATACTGAATTGCCCATTTATAATATTTATAACATAATAATTGCCTATTTGTAATTTATAACCAGTCTTTCAACTTTTGTTTAAAATCTTTAAAGTATCCTGGACTATTACTCTCTTCTAATTCACAACAAATAGCAACACTTTGCCCATTCTGTAAACCCAATTATTCTTTCTTATATTCAATCTTGTATTATAGTCTGTATATGTTTCTTATTCCTCATATTTTATTTTAAACATCATGAATACAAGAACCATGTATTGCTACTCTGTTATCACCTGCAGAACAAAGCATATTGTCTTAGATGTAGTAATGCTCCCTAAGTAGAGAAAATTGGATTTGCTTATAATTCTCAGATCTAAGTCATCCTCTCTCAAGATTTATGCTGAATTTGTTGAACTATATCTTGCCTTATATATCCAAATACCAAAATTAAATTACCTTAAATAAAACCACTAGCTAAAAATATATTTTATCTATGAAAGCAAAAATATATTTTGCTGCATTTGCAACTTTTGCTGGCATTTGACCTACCCAGTAAATAGGTTCCTAATAATCTTATCCTTTTTTAAGTAAACTCTACCTCCAACGTGGGGCTCAGACTCACAATCCGGAGATCAAGAACCGCATACTCTACCAACTGAGCCAGCCGGTGCCCCTAATCTTATACCCCTTTTAACTCAAACTACCAAAGGTATACTATTGCAAACTCACCTTCGTTACACCTGAAAAGAAGCAACAATTTTGCCTTAAATGTTTACAAATAGATCATTTTCAAAATAAGACCCAACAACAAATACAACAGTGTCATTCAAATCCATTAAAAGATATTTACCTGGTCTATGGGAACACCAAAATATTCCAGCATTTCTCTTAAGATATTCAATATGAGTGACATTGATGAGACAAATACATACGCGAATTCAAGGAAACATTATCAGTTTCTTGATACCTTCAGGAAAAATAATTTAGAAAATATTACTCTCAACAAAAAGAACCAAGAAACAAACAAAAAGAAGAATGCCACAAAACTGTATTAAGTAACCTGGAGGAATCCTTTCGTTTCACATTACACCATCAGCTAATTCTTTTGGCCAGCAGTATTTTGAAGGAGAAGGTTAAAGAGAAAGAGAGGAATGGAGAAGTGGGGATGAGCTCGTAAAGGAAACTTCAATCTATCAGTTAAATTTCCATTAAAAGTTCATAGGATGTTTAAGCCTTCATTAATAAATATCAACCAACAATGGATTGGACACCTGGCAGGAAAGGCTTTAGGAGCTGCGACAGCGAAGTCTCCGCTGTCCGGGAAGCTCTGAGCTGAGCTCAGGCGACCCTTGAAAGAAAGCAGGCAGAGTGCCGACTCCAAGCTTTCCTAAATGAACAGCGACTCTCTCTCACAAACGAATCCGGGTACCACCCATCCTGCTCATTTTAAGCTAAGGAATATGAACCCCAGATATACGACTTATTCACCCAGTAACAGGGCGAGCCTAGCACCCCGTCGTGTCACTCGCTTTGGCCGCAAGCCTCCGCAGAGGCTCTCCAACCCAGCTTGGTCGCCTTGCTCACCCTCCTCCCAAGTCGAACCTCCGAGCAACCACCGGAACATCAAGCCGCCCCGAATACGCAGTCTGCGAAGCTCGTGGTGCACCGGTTCTGGTACAGAAGCGCTCGGACAACGACCCAAGTCGGCCCGCGCGGCACAGTTTGCAGGCCACAGACAGTAACGACGCCCCCCACCGACCCAGGACTGGGCACTGGAATCCCCTCGCTCAGCTCTGTTCCCTCCTGCGTTTCCCACCCACCCTGCGGCTTGCCCCCAGGACTGGCGCCACTTCCGCCTTCCTGGACTAAAATCAAACTCCGCGGGCCAAACTCGTGCCGGATCTCATTGGACTAGGCTAAAGACCGCTGCTTGGGATTGGCTGCGGAATGACGTCAGGTGAGTTACGGTTATTTGACCAGGCTGCTGGGATTTTTCCTGCCGCTTCTTCTAGGGGGCGGACCTTCCGCGAGTCGACCAATAGAAGCCTATAGACAACTGGTGGGCGGGGCGGGAGCGCGAAGAGAAGGTGACGCACGTGCAAAACGTGTCTTCATGTTCCTCCCGGTTAACCGACTGGTGTCTACAGCCGGGCGTTTTGGAGCCATTATGGGTTTTGGGCCCTGCCCGCGAGCCAGAGTTCGTGCCAGTTCGTAGAGAAAGTGTGTCGTCCCCTTCACCCAGACCCTAAACGGGGCCGCTCTCCCAAGTACTTTTGCCGTGGAGTCGCTATTTATTGTTTGACCATTTCATTCAGCGAACTTTACGTTTATGGGACTCGCAGAAGCTAAACACAGTGCTCGAGGGGTATGTAGCTTTGCTGTACTTAGAACGTTCACTAAATAAACGCCGCTGGTTATCTAGGCTACCAGATACCGGCTGGACGTTAACCTGGCCTAGCTGATAATACTTAAGTGAGGACTAAGTCGTATCAGATGATACCCAGTTTTTTAAAAATTTCTGATCTGGGATTACTGGCTTCCTTTTTTTTCCTATTTCAGGTAAGGATGCACTGCTTACCGACTTATATTTTAAAAAGCTGGGGGAGAGGGTATTTTTAAACGAATTTCTCTATGACCCACATTTATTCAATACTGAAAGTCTGTTAATGTGCCAGGCACTATTCAAGTATGGGGAACACAATAACGAGCAATACCAGTTACGTTTCTTGCCCTACTGGAGATTACATTCTAGTGAAGATTTTTTATTTCATTTATCACCCACATACATTCTTGCTCCTCCTATCGCCAAACTAGAATGTAAACACAAGAATAGGTTCTTTGTTTTGACCCACACGGTTTCTGTAGTGCTTTAGAAGAGTGCCTAGTATATGGAGGGCGGGGGGGTCTGGCTGTCAGTGGCATATGCAACTCTTCATCTCATGAGGTCGTGCTCCTCCTTGGGCGTTGAGCTAACTTAAAAAAAAATAAACATTTAGCATGCCTAGTATATACAATGGGCAGTCAGTACTTGTTGAATAAAATAACTGGATATGGAATCAGAGAGAACTGACAACAGAAATGACTTGTAATTAAGTAATTGGCAGACCATCCCAACAGTCCAAACTAGAAATCATGAAAGTAGGGGCAGAAGAGGGCTGTTGGACAAGGTACAAGTAGAAGGCAAACAGATCAGCAACCCTACACAGAATCAGCAAGTCACAATTTTCTCAAGTTCCTTGTCTTTTCCTTTTGTGGATCTTGTAACCTCCTCTCTTTCCACAGCACCCAACAGGGCCAGATAACGTTACCAAGCAGCAAAACTGCCTTCACCCTTCACTATTAAGAGAGGTTCACTTCCAGCTGATTCAGGTAGCAAGCTGGGCCCAGGTCAAATACTACACCCTCCATGAATGCTTTGCTGACAACTTAATCCTAACATTTCAGAGATCTTTCCTTCATTTTGTGTTTACTAAGCATTCATACATACTCCTTCTTGATAACCTTTAGTAAGATCTGACATTAATATTTCCCACTTGCTCACATTTACATGAAATTATTTCCTTGGCCATTTAGAATGATGCAAGATTCAGGAAAGGTTAACTTTACAGTTACGTTTTCTGTTGCTTTTGAGTAGTGTTCAGAAATATGGTGGCTTGCTTTGTAGGATTTTCCTGGTTGTGTTCCCCTCCCCCAGTTTAACCTAGACCCTCTCCACTTGTCTCTATCCTAGTCAATGATTCCACTTTCTATACTTTCTCCTCACTATGGGGGTCTGGTAAAGGGGAGCTTTGTCTTGACAGGTCTGTTTTGAGAGTTCACTAGGGTAAAAGTGCTCAAGTCTCTCCAGTCCTTACTGTGGATACCTTGCATTCACAAGGGAAAGGACAAAAGTCCAAGTTTCAGTTGACTAATTTGAGATTCTGCTTTTCTCAAGTCTTTCAGAAGCTACCTCAAGCCTTCCTTCTATTCACAGAGAAATCAGCACCAGGCAGATGGGTGGTTTTTCCCATCTGCTGTTTGGAGATTCCTCACCTAGCTTAATTGCAAATGCTGTTCAGGGGTATTTGGTTTTGCGATCCCAGTGTGTTTTTCCATTTTCCTGTACTACTAATACAACATAGTTAATCATCATGCTATGTTCTGGATCCCCAACACCAAGAATGATTTATTCATCTTAACACCCAATGCCAGCCATACTTTTTCACTGAATAAATGAAAGGGGAGAGGCTGAGGGCCAGTTTGGACAAAGGCTAGAAAGATGTGTATACTAAATCTTGCCCACTGCCCAGCAGAACCCCATTAGCCTGTGCCACAAGTCTAAGTTTCTGGTGATGGGTGAATTCAAATTACTCTAATTATCTTAAGTAGTGGGACAGAATACAAGTCAACATTCTATCAAAGTAGGAAATATCCTCTCCAACGTTAACCATAGAGTTCACGTGATCTCCAGATTGGGTTGTACCCACCCAGAAAGTTCATTTAAATACAACATTTTTTTTTTTTAAGATTTTATTTGTTTGATAGAGACAGAGCAAGAGAGCCAACACAAGCAGGGGGAGTGGGAGAGGGAGAAGCAGGTTTCCCACTGAGCAGGGAGCCCGATGCGGGGCTCCATCCCAGGACCCTGGGATCATGACCTGAGCTGAAGGCAGATACTTAACGACTGAGCCACCCAGGCGCCTCTAAATGTTACATTTCAAGAAGAAAAATACTTTGGCCCTTTTTCCTTCTACTTCTGCCTATGCTTGAAGCCTCTCAGGGGTAATACCAAAGCAGTACACTTAAACCAACCAGTGCTATTTAAAAAATTACACACCTTTTAAAATTGATTAAACCTTTATAATTATTTATTCAAAAATCTTTAATATTGAGAGCAATTAAGACCAAGATTTTCCTTGATATTAAAATACTTCAAATTAACTCTCCTGAAAATGTCATTTTATCTGACAACAGATAAAACAGTTAAGACCCAACTGTATTTCAATGTCTACTATATATCTGTAATAATATCTTCACAATAAATTGCTATTTACTTGTAGTGACATATTAAAATTATAAAATCTAAGTTAAATGTTTATAGTCTAAAAGCAGGATTTCTTTTTATTTGAACCTTTAAATAATTTAAAAGAAAATCTAGGTTATGCTCAAAGGTCTTCTGTGTCTACAACTACTCATTCTATTTTTGAACAAAAATAGTCTACTACAGCTAGACCTATCTAAAAGCATAAAAGCGAACTGCTGCTTGATTTTTTTGGCTCCATTTTTTTTAGAAGATTCATAGGACTTCACAGATTCTGTAATGTTTCCTGATACAATCATATGTTCACAAGTAGGTATGCCTTGACTCTTGTCAATCACTTAAAAAGAGTTGGTTAAAACCTAGAACACAGAAAAAATAGTTAAAGGATGCCCTTCCAGTCTTATTCCACTTCTGGATCACCCACACAGTCAGCTATACATCAGTGCTGTTTGCATTTAGCCCTTCTCATTTTTAGCAATAATCAACTCGTAATTTTCAATACTGTCAATGGCCCTAATAGGAATAAAAACATTCTACATTATAAAAATTCCAAGTAACTGATTTGGATTACCTTATAGCTAATAACAAGTTATTTGCCATCCAAAAATTTGACATATATAAAGAGTATACCCTAAGTCTTAAAAAACAATCTAAGTTCATTCCTATCACAACACTGAAAGAAATGTAGCAATATGCAGTATTTCTTTTTAATTATCACTGGTAACTTCAGTTGATAACATACAATTTAACAAAGGAAGCATCTGAGAGTAAAAGGTAACTCTTAATCTTGAATTAAGTAATCCAGAGTACTAGGAAAAAAAGTTTTAGCTTCAGGCAGCACAGACCTCCTGACAAAGAGATCCAGATTCTCCATACTTCTATAAGCAGAAACTTGCTTTTCACAAGCTAGCTACTCTACTTGCCAGGGGACCTGGGTGGCTCAGTAGGTTAAAGTTAAGCATCTGAATCTTGATTTCGGCTCAAGCGGATCTCACCCAATGCTCAGTGGGGAGTCTGCATGAGATTCTCTCCCCCTCTGCCCCACCCCCCCAACTTGTGCACACGTACGCATGCATGCTCTCTCTCAAATAAATAATCTTAAAAAAAAAAAACAAAACCTAGTTGTCAAATATCAGCTCATCGAGTCAGTAACAGTCTGTATACCTATGGTTCGAGGTTCTGTCTCCTCTAAAGATGGAACATGTTAAAAATGATGAGGCAGGACAAAGTAATATAAAATGTCCTTCCTGTTCCTATAGAATTTGAATTTGACTCTATTTCCTCTTTTAAGGGAAAGCCCTTTAAATACTTGAGGACTGCTGTCAAGGACCCATCCCAGTCATCATTGCTCTATACTACAGTAAGCATACCTTCTCCATCAAGAACCCATCTCAGTTACCATTTCTCTACAGTAAACATTCCTTTTCCAACTTATTCACAGGACACTGTTAGACCTCAAGCTCCTAGTTCCCCTTCCTTTAAACATATTACTTACTCTTAAAAACCTGGTAATCCAAAACAATACACAAAAGTGACATGAGGCATGTATAAAAAGATTAATGATCTAACTTCTGTTCACTGCAATCTGGAATCTCTTCCATTCAGCACATTTTAAAGCAACTTAGACTGTACTAGGTTT